TATATGCAACAGTAAAGTGATTATATATGCCTATGTACATTGTGTTTGTTGGGTTATTAAATTGCAGGTGAGGGTGGGTGGGGCAGGGGGGAGAAGGCACCCGAAGGTGATCGCTGCCCCAGGGCCCGACCAGGCTCTCGACGCCCTGGGGGGGCATACACTTGTATGATGTTTATGTTTTTATGACCTTCTTCCTACCATCTCTTACCTTGAGCTCTTTCTTAGTTCCAAATGAGGCCATGATGATCCTTGGACCATGCACTTCCCAACCCCTGAATTTCTTTTGAGCTGTTTTGGATATGATCATCCCTACTCCTTCCCTGTGTTGTCCTTCACTGTCATTTCCTGAATAAATGAAAAGCTCCCCCTCTTTCATTCGCTTCTGTACAGACTGGTTCAAGTGGGTCTCGCTGATTTCCAGTATGTGTAGTTGGTATCAGTGCATCTCTTGGAGGACTTGTGCAGTTTTTCCAGCCTCATAAAGGGTCCTAACGTTCCACGAGCCAATCCGAAGAGACGTGGACTTTGATGATGGTGGAGGCTTCTGCCCAGCAGCTACCTTTCGGCTTTCACTGCCTTGCGTCATAAACTCTCCATTCAGAGAAGGTCCACGATCAGCCGAGCAGAGATAATGGTTTTTGTTTGTATGTGTTTCTGTAACAGGTTCTTTTTTCGAGAGAGGTTGTTAGCCTCGTGACTCAACCCCCGACCTGGAGGCAGGATGACTGTTTCAGGAGTCACTACCTGGTTCGCCATTTAGTCACCTCGTACGACACGCTAGCATCACGTCAATCCTATTCTTCTCAATGCCGGGACTGCACGGCAGATTTTTTATTATGGTGGATTAATATTTCATATTCCTCATAAAACACTGAGAGGGCTCGTAATTCGTACATACGTATTGTTGTCTGCCCGGCCTCTGAGACGGAGTGTGTCGTCTCTTTGTCTGTGAAAAGGCAGAATGAGATAATTTTACAGAAGTAGTCACTTCTAAGGTTGATAGGTTAGTTGTTTCCATTGGCTTCTTCACTTAAACTAAATCAGAATCACAGTTGAAAAAGACACATAATGCATTCAGACCATTCCTGCTTAGTTACAGGTAGCCGGTATATAATTAGTATTAAATTAGAAAATTCGATAACATTGTATTAGTAGGGGGTATAATACAATACGTACGTTAGCCTACATCTAAAATATTGACCAGTTATCTTCCTTTTCCGTGATCAGCAGCAGCAGCAGCAGCAGCAGCAGCAGCAGCAGCAACAGCATACATCGGCGATCACGTTTTCTCCATTCATTTCTTTGCTCGGATGCTCCTTAAAAAGAGACATTACCCTGATTTCCTTCCGTAATCCATCTGTTTAGGTTCTCCAAAGTAGGTTGCTCTGGGCCTACCCCTGCCTCTTTTGCATTTAATTTTGCCAGTAAGACATGTAAAGCGTGAGAGTAAAACATGCAAGGGCTAATGTCTGTTCAGCCAGAAACGGCATTTGTCTTTTCCTGATTAGCAGCGAGAGGTCCACGTGGACTTCTTCGAGTACTACCTCATTCGTCGGTGGCCTAGTGGTTAGGCTCTCGGACTCGCAACCGTAAGGTCGTGGGTTCGAATCCCGTCAGGGGCCCGACGTTGTGTCCTTGGGAAAGGCACTTTGCACAAATTTTCCTCACTTCACCTAGGTGGGAATGGGTACCCAGCTATAGACAGTGAAAAGATCTTGTCAGTTGATAGTGTTTGAGCGCGTGAAATCAGCAGCTTGCACTGTATGCTTCCTTGGAAGCTGAGAATGTTTCTGAGTCTTCTTAGAGGGTCTGCTGGGGTAATACATGTAATAGTTGTAAAGCGCATAGAGCAAGCTCTTGAGCATGGATATGCGCTATATAAATGGAATTATTATTATTATTATTATTATTATTATTATTATTATTATTATTATTATTATTATTATTATTATTATTATTATTGTTATTATCTCAGCAGTCTTGTATTAAGAAAACATATTTCTGTTGCTTCTATTTTAATTTCATTGTCTTTATCGATTGTCCAGCATTCACAGCCACATCGAAGGGTTGACCATACACTGCTTTTCAGAACTTTCATTAGAATTTGGTAGTCATTGACATGTTTCTATTTTAACGGATTGGGCTTATTTTTTCTGAAGCTATACGTAATAGCCATTGCAATTCTTCGCTTTATTTTTGTGGAACATTTGGCATCAGATGTCAATGTAAAAAATATATTCTTGATATTTAAAATGTTCAACTAAGTTTGATCTTTTCTCCTTTGCTTGTGAGATTACAAATATAGGACTAAACTGCTTTTTTAATATCACCGTGCATTGTTTTCTTCACATTCATCAATGACCCTTTGAATTCACTTTCCCTTATAACAGTACTTAGAAGTGATTGAAAGATCTTTTTCTAGGTCTGCTGTACCATCGGCATTTCTGACGCTATTAATATTTTTACTTTTCACTTTAGACTCTAAGACCTGGACATTCTTATATATTATTTCAAGGGATTGTTTCACTGTATATGTTTAAAGGGGTCTGATGACCTTATACATGTTTGCCTCACTCTTCTAACCGGCTTTTAGATCTCTTTGATAGCTGTCTTCTCGTTTAATTCTTACTGCAACAGGTTGGTCCGGGTACACATTCCTGATACATATAATTCTTGCATCTTTTCCATCTATATCTAGCTAGCTCTTCCAATATTCTAAATAGCTCCTCATATCTTAGTTTAGTTTTAGTAGAGGTTTTTCGGCGCTCGCAACTGCATGAGGTCATATGACAAACTTGCTCCCGTAGTCACTCGTAAGATCTCACCAAGACCAGCATCTCCGTGGTTTACTCTCGAGATCAAAGAGGTAAAAAAACAACGAGGGAAAGCGGAGAGACAGCTTAGAAAGACGGGCCTCCACGTCCACAAACAGATTTTGGCAACTGAACGAAACAACGTCAACACCCTGGTTGAAAACAACAAGAAGCAATTCTATCTTAACAAATTTCAAAATGCAAACTCCTGCAAGGAAGTTTTTCGATTATCTGATCAATTATTGAGAAGGGAGAATTGTACACGGTTTCCACCTGGAACTGATAAAGAACTTTGTTGTATTTTCTGCACTTTTTCAATGATAAAATTGAAAGAATAAGAACTGATTTAGACTCTGATACGTTAGGTGTAAATAAAAATATAGTTGTTGATGAAAATCTTACAATTATGAACAAATCAACATTGAGTGAATTTAAAGTGGTATCAGAGAAATATTATGTCATTAAGTATATTAAATAGTCCCCCGCTAAAACATGCGACTTAGACCCAATACCCGCTTCATTGTTAGTTACGTGCATTTTAGATCTCGCACCATATGGTACTCGTTTTATTAATATGTCACTCACCACTGGAATCGTACCTGATCTTTTCAAGCAAACCGTTGTAAAACCTTTACTTAAAAAACAAGGTCTTGATGAAAACGACTTGAGGAATTTTAGGCCAGTTTCCAATCTTAACTTTTTATCAAAAATCCAGGAGAAAATCGTTTTGTGTCAAGTTCAACAACATTTAAAGGTCAATGACATGGAAGAACCTTTTCAATCTGCTTGTAAAAGGCACCACAGTACGGAAACCGCTCTTTTAAAGGCATCATCAGATGTTTTAAAGGAAATCGATAATTTAAAAAGTCTGTGTTTTGGTTCTACTTGATTTGTCAGCGGCGTTCGATACCATCGACCTCGAAATTTTACAGGAGAGATTGGAAAAGTCATTTTTACTATCGGGTACTGTTCTAATGTGGTTTAAATAAAATCTAAAAAATAGATTTATGTCAGTCAAAATTGGCAATGATGTGTCAGATATGTAACCTCTAAAGTATGGAGTTCCTCAAGGTTCGGTCATTGGTCCTGTCATCTTTTCAATGTACACGCAAAGCCTGTCATCAATAGTTTCTTTATAAGCCCTCAATTACCATCTTTATGCAGACGATACACAGCTGTATGGATTCACTACAACTGACAATGTACACAATCTCATGGATAAAATGGCAAGATGTATCAATGATATAAGAAAATAGATGCTCAAGAACAAATTAAAATTAAATGAGGATAAGACCGAAATATTATTTCTTCGTAGCAGCGCATGCAATAAAATCGACAATATCAGAATAAACATCAATGGCCACTAAATATCAGCCCAAACTAAAATTAAAAATTTAGGCGTAGTGCTAGATCAAGATATGTCAATGAAATCCCATGTATCCAATCTTTGTAAAAATCTATATCTCCAACTGAAGAAAATATGGAGCATTTGAAAATACTGTATCTATCTGTTGGTGTCACCAAAACTTTAATCACATCACTTATATTGTCAAGGATTGAGCATTGCAATTCCTTACTGGCTGGTGTACCTGATGAACAGTTACAACAACTACAAAGAGTACAAAACATTGCTGCCAAAATAAATACTAAGAAACTAAAGCACGATCATGTGACTCCTACTTTAAAAGAACTACACTGGCTCCCGGTGAAAGAGCGTATCATATATAAAATCTGTTTGACTTGCTACAAGTTCTTACATGATTTATCACCTGAATATCTAAAACAGTTTTTAACACCCTATGTACCCCCTCCTCATATCTGGCTTTATCAAAAGCCTTTTGGATAATTTATGAAGCTCTCACTGACAAAACTGAAGTCAAACGAGGCAAGGGTAGAATTGCCTAAACACTGTAAACAGCCTGACGGGACAGGTAGGCCGTATAAGTTTTGTTGTTTGTTTTTTTTTGTTTTTTTTTTTTTGGGGGGGGGGGGTTTAGAGCATCCAAACAGGAATGACGTGAGAAAGATGAACCGTTGTTTGTTGCAGATCTGGTCTGGTATTTCGGGATGATGTTAATGACACTCGTATGATATCGTAGCAAGACTTGTATCAGTAGTCTCAGCGAGTCACGTGTATGTGATGTAGTTGTGCTGTATGTGGTGAATAATATGAAGAAAATACACATGCCTTGCATCTTTAAGACCGAGAGAGCTTTGTGAATTTGGAACCTTCTTTTGTAAAACCGAGAGAGCTTTGTGAATTTGGAACCTTCTTTTGTAAAACTCTCTCTCTCTATCTCTCTCTCTCTCTCTCTCTCTCTCTCTCTCTCTCTCTCTCTCTCTCTCTCTCTTTCTCTCTCTCTCTCTCTCTTCTCTCTCTCTCTCTCTCTCTCTCTCTCTCTCTCTCTCCCCTCAATCTAGACACGAACACAAACAAGTCGCACTAACACACACACGCGCGCGCGCACACGCACGCATACACACACACACACACACACACAGTTAGAGAGAGAGAGGGGGAGAGAGAAAGAGAGAGAGAGAGAGAGAGAGAGAGAGAGAGAGAGAGAGAGAGAGAGAGAGAGAGAGAGACTGCCTGTGTTTTAATTCGCCTTTCTTTGAAAATATTTTGGGTGTAAAATGACTAGCCTATATATTCTCTTTATCTGTGCAATAGACCTATTCTATAAGTCTGTGCGAGGACGTCACGTTTATATAGTTTGAATGTTATTCCTTAAGTAAGGTAGCCAACAAAGAGCACTCCTGTCTGGCTCGGGGCTCCCTTAAATCTTCTCGAACGCAAACGACTCCTATACCCATGTCAGGAAATGAGATAAACTTATCGTCAGTAATGCTGTTCCGGCTTTCTGGTACAAATCGTGAGAAGTGTGCCCCGTTTTGCCTAATTTTTTATTCACGTAAAACGTTGCTTTGTTTTCTTGTTTCCAGTATAAAATACAAGTATAGTCGATCTAGCTCTTACGCTTCAAGGCCACTGTAGCCTACTGTCCATGACCATCACCTGTGCAAACGATCCCC